AAAGTGAGTACAGCTGTGGAAACGTGAAACGTTTGCAAACAAATTGCCAAGCTCAGCGAACAGGCGAAATGGAATTCAGTTCATCCGAGCTACGAGAACCGATTTTCAATATTTTGTCAAAAAGCATTGTGTTTATCTCCAGGCCAAACTTGCGCTTTCATCCAACGACGAATTACCTGTTTCTGCAGTCTCTTCCGGTGTGCACTTATTTGTCTGTTCCTGTGGCACAAGGAGCTGTTTATTTGGACGAGCCTGTGAGCACCACCCGGCCTGGCTGATTCCTGGGGAGATTAGGCCCGATTGACAATTCGATCTCTTCATACCTGGTGTAATCAAACTACGTGGTTAAGGTGATCGAAACGTTTCGACCCTTCTGCTTGGTTCACACTCGTCGATCTAAGAGGATTAGGGGTCGCATTTTGATCACACAGGAAGCGAGCCCCTCCCCGATTCATAAAAACAAGTTGTAACAACACTCGGTCTTCGGTGGCCATGTGTGGACAGTTAGTCGTTGGTTTGGATCATTAGGTGGCGGGTTACAGGATGATTTGAAGCTAAAACAGATTCAATTTAATTTGAAAAGGTATAGCCTAGTGAGTAAATTCCTTGAGGCCGAGTCTCCCGCAAATAATTCTGACCCAAATGTAATTTGCCGCACTGTGTAATTTCTAGCACTGAAGGGCACACTTGACAAGATACTTAAAGATGGTACAATGATAAAGTGAAAGAATTAACAGTGTCTCACATAAATCGCCAACAAAATTTCGCATTACTGATGAAATCTGATGTGCTTGAACCAAGCCCATTTTCCCACTAATTCGCAACAAATAACAGTTCTAGATGGTAACTTCGGTTAACATTTCGTTAACCGGCCACTAGCAGATAACATGCCTACCAAATTGGGAATAGTTCATAAACATCCATTTTTTATTTCCATTTTAAACGCATTTTAACAAAAACATGAACGGTTGGAAGCTGTTAGATGTAGAGTGTATTGCTGTATTCGTATGAAAAATTCTGTTGTTACATGATCTCGCAGTCGCCAGCTTGGTTTGAAGTCACGACCTCAGAACAGATGTGTGACCAACACAGCCTGACTTGTCAACTCTTGTTTGAATTTTGAAGACTTCTGTCTCCTCAATGCGGTGGCATTACAACTGTCAATTGGAACACTTGGAAGGTGTCCAAATGAGCATGATTTAAAATCAAGACAAAGTAAACGGGCTCCGGTTGTCGAAACAATGTGCAGAAGAAAAAATAGTTGTCGCGACTGGCCTGTGGTAGGCGAATAACACCAGGTAATCTGTTTATCATCATCATCATCATCATCGTACAGCAAAATACAGTGGGGCGAACTTCACTCATAGCTGCCAAACTCGCAGTGCATAAAAGGTGACTGTTTTTATTTAAGGCGGTCTGGGATTGGACCAATATGAAGGGAAGGAGAAGAAGGAGAACCTCTGTGGTTCACACAAAGTACACAATCGAACTCTGCATAGATAAAGGTTAACGCATTCTGGACTGATAAGAAATGACTACAAGAACGCCACTGCTGTCGTTTAGCTGCCATGTCTCCAACCAACCAGTTGTGGAGTTTTTCGGACCCAACCTGGAAGGCGCGGGACTCGACCCAATGGCTCTGTGCATTTCTTCCTGCATCGTCTCCACATCACCTGTTGACCTTCACGTGGTTTCCTCCAGCCCAGAGCGGCTACAGCTAATAAAGTTCGGCAGACGATAACTGGGCACACGCAATACGTGCCCTAACCAGCGTAGTCTACTAATCTGAATTCGGTGCGTTAGCAGGTTTAAATCTGAAAGACTCCGAAACACACGACGACTTACCTCCCGATTACTAACCCGTTCGCTCCTTCCCACGTGGGTTAAGCTACGATAATTGAAAACTTCTGGTAGGTGGATATCTTCTACTCGTAAATTCAAGGTCTCTCAACCATAAAGCAGAACTGAACGAACGCTAGCACAATATGCACGACCTTTCAACTTCAGTGAAATGTCATGTCTACGCAAAAGGTATTTCAGTCCTGTATATACTGCTCGAGCCTAGGAAATTTGAACGGTTACCTCTTTTGCTGCGCTTCCGTTACTGGTCACGCAACTACCTAAAAGTAATCCACAATTATTAATTCCTGGTCATTTAGTTTCAGAGCGGGAGTAGGCGACATCCAGTCCTGCAGCATCACTTTACACTTTGAAGGTGCAAAGCATACACCGAATGTCGCAACAGTACTTGTTAGTCTATCAAGTGCGCTTTGCGCGTTCTCCATACATTCGAATAGACAGATGATATCATCAGTGTACTCCAAATAGCAGTTTTTCTCCAGTTGTCCGCTCAATACCTGCGTTTCGGAGACCACTTAGTTCGTTTTCTAGTATTTCGTCTACGACGAAATTGAACCGGAACGGCCAAAGAGGACACCCTTGACGAACGCCGCTGCCAGTGACGAACAGCCTACTTAGATCGTTGTAGACCCTTACACGACCGGAGGTATGTGAGTAGAGTGACCTCAGTAGGTTAACGTACTTCTGGGGCATTCCTTTTCGANAGAAGGCAGCCCATCAGAGCTTCGCAGTCAACTGAGTCGAAGGCTCCTTTCAGGTCAAGGAACACTGCGATCGTTGGCCGACGGTGAGTATGATGCCCAAGGAGCTGAGGCAGTGTAAAAATCCGATCAATACAGGCCAGGCCGGAATCCGGCTTGCTGTTCACGGATGCTGGTCTCTCTCAAAGGCGTCCGATGCCGCGGTATGACCGAGGCTAGCACTTTGGCGATGATCAAGATTAAACTGATCCCTCGATGGTTTTCGCAATCGTTGCGGGATCCTTTCTTGAAAATGGGAACGATCAGTGATTCGCCCCAAGATGAAGGAATGCGTTCTTACGTCCAAATATTGCGTAGTACAGTAGTAATGGACCTTAGGAGGTTATCACCCCCCCCATCTTTAAAAGAGTGGAATCCTGAATTCGAGTCTCCGATACGCAGTAAATATTGATCCCTAGGGATTTCACTGTANCTTGTTGACCCACCTGCATCAAAGTCCCCACGTCGAAGACTCCCAAATTTAGTGAGTGATGATGCTTTAGAATCTCTAATTCACTTTGTCGTACATTACTTACAGTGTTATTTGGCAATAACCTTCGGTGAGCGACATCCAAGTTGCTTGTGGGACTTTTACAGGTCAGGAGAAAGGGCAAAAGGAGAGGGTTGGGAACGGAAGACAAAGAGTTAAACAAAGTTTGGGATATCTGAGCCTTAACCCACTTATCACCACCCACCCCGCTCGATGCAATGGGCAGCGCGGTCCTGATTATTCTGCGCGACGACCGATGCAGTATGGAATTATTTTTATTTTGTGTATGCGTTGGGGTTTGATGGACGGGTACTGATAGGGTGTCCAACCACTAAGCAGGAGAACGATTAGGGTTCCCGTCCAGAGCCTTTAGTTCTGACAAGAACCTAACCGCAAGGCAGCGGGTGAAGCGAAGTGGAGGCACATTTACTTGGAGCGATTGCTCCACAATTTTTTACCGACTGAAACGCAAGTTTCAGTAGAAACCCCAACTTGGAGGACCATGAGACTGGACTTCGTCTGACCTCTACCCACTGACCTTTCAGGCATGATAAGATCTCTTGGATTGACAAAATCCATCCTGTGTAATGCGTTGGGTCATAGAGGTGCACAAGCCATCACACCATGTCCAGATGCAGCCTCGTCGTGATGGTCTTTTGTGTATGAACGAAAACGATTCACTTTGAGAGTAATCCGGAATCCGCCAAGTACGCAAACCTTGTGCGACACGGATTAATGTAATTCTCCCCCAGGAAGCATGGGAAAGAAAAGACAGTTTTTGTCACATGAACGAAATCAATTAGTTATCTTTACCTCAAGTAATGTGCACGCCGTACGGTAGGGGATGGTTGGATTATTTGGTTCCGGTGACAGGTAACCGCAATTTGTTCCATGTGATCGAAATTGAAATCACAGTAATAACAATCACCGCCTACGCACAGTGCGATTGCTTCACCTTTTCACGTCGTCATTTCTCTCTCGTGCATGAACCTGTGTTGTCTCCCTCTGATTCATTCTGTGATCCGATTGGGCAATTTTCCGCGATTCGCCACACGTGTGCCCCTTAACCGAGTCACGGGGTGCGGTCATCATCATACAGATCAGACCGAACAATAGGGGAGTCCTCTCGTGTCAAGATCGCGAAATAACGAGCTGCGCGAATCGCGGAAAACTATCCAATCGGAGCATGAAGTGGGTCAGGGTCGGTTTGAAGACCCAGACAAGAATGAAAAGGTAATGGAAAACAAATTAGCACCATAGTAAATGACTAAGTAAATTTATCCCGGAAGGACACGACCGGTTTTGCAGCTATTACCACTCGTCAAGTTCGCGCATTCGACGAGAGGCATTTTACTTAAAAACATCACCACAGCTTCCTCGTAAAGGTGGGTTCTTCTAGAAGAGGCAAAGGGAAGCATTGCGGTGCCAGCCAATCAAGGAGTTCCATAAACGAACTAACCTTGTCCCAGTAAAATCGAAGTTGACTGAGCCAATCAAAAGCATTTATATCGTTGCAGCCCACTTTGTATAATCGCTCAATAATATCACGCTGATGGACCTCGATCACGACCAGACCGTTGATTTTCAATCGTTGTACCTTGGTCAGATTCGTACGAATCATTTCGGAAAATTTCTCCAACAAATTGCGTTGTTTACGTCGAAGAGATTTCAGTGGTTTTTTATCTTGTCTTTGTCCGACCTGAGTAGGGGAAAACGAAAGGAAACCAAATCCAAGGTAGTTCGGTGCATCATAACACTCACAAATTTATCTGATTTTACCACTTTATTTTAAAGCTACGGAAACTCCATATCACTTGCTTGATATGTAATTCATGCATGCATGTTAGTGTGAAAAAGATGTCATGTCAAGGCGTGACACATGTGCAGATAGACCACAATAATATGTGACTACTTAAGTTTGATTAGTTCTGATAATATCGGTATGGTTTATCTGTGGTGGCGTGGACATTGTCGATTTGGGAGTACAAAAAACGGTTAAGCGAGAAGACAGCTCAAAACAATCTGGATTAATCGAATGAATGAAGATTTTAAAAAAACGCATTGTTTCCTACACGTTGCTGAACACTGTGAACTTCACCGACGATGATAATGATAATGTCATACATATGGTTGATATCGAACTGACCAGTTGTAACGCTCTAGTCACATCGGCTGTCCACTGAATCTGGCTAGATGTGATACACAACTGTCCGGGCCATTCCTTCACAAATTTGTCTCGTTTCGCCGCCGCTTTCTTCAGTGCAACTCGACATTCCCGAAGCATGTCTCTGAGTGTTTTGTACATCTGTTCCTCCACATCGCACAGCCAGGATTCCACGGGACCGTCTAAGCGTACTTTGGACCGGAATGCCACCTCTTCACCATCCAATGAGAACATGGACAGCCCGTCGTACGTAACCACGCTGTACTGTTTTTAGGATGGGGTGGAGGTGAAGATCATAGACAAAGGTGAGAATGGAACAAGTTTTCAAAGATTCTCCGAGACAAATTTAAAATGAAAACAACAAGAAAAACTACAACAGGAATGAATAAACGCAATGCATGTTTAGACACATGACAGTGACTGCTAGTGATGATTCAAAAATCACTTTACCGTGTATTCACGCCGATGTATAAAACCGGTCAAAAAACATGTTACTGATTGAAAATAATTATTCGTTACATCTCGAAGCAATATCATTTGAGCTGGTTATTCTGCGAACAACAGACACTGATTTCCTAATGAAAGGGGCAATTCATTCCGAGACAGAGACGAGAACAGAGGTTGGTTGGTTCCAGTTGCACCGCGCAAATACATCGAATGTGTTGCATGCTACCACGATACGCATACAAATGTGTGTGTGTGTGAAGCTTACAGATCTCTGTTTTCTTCGAACCATAAAACCGATTTCGTGTTTCTTTCCGCCCCTCACGTCCAGTTGTGTATCTAATACCTAACACAAGATCATTACAAATCGGCTCTGTATTATGGGATTTGATGAAGTTTGAAGCATTTGAAACAAAAAGACTACTGTAGGATCATTTTAATAATATTCCGACGTTGCCTTATCTCGACAAGACCCAGTAAAATGCAGATGAAGATTCTGTGTCGAGGATATAACTTATCAATGGGTTAAGAAATTATCAATACGAAAAGACGCGGATGAGATTCACTTGTTGTTTTAGGGATTTAGACATCGTCAAATAGTACAGACTAATATTCCCGAAGAAACTTTTGAAATGTACCCAGGCAGAACACTCGGTTGAGCAATAGTTCCTTTCGACGAGACTTGCACAAATACTTCCCTGGTTGTTTGGAATCGAGAACTATAGTTAAACTCAGATAAGCAGTGGTAGTGTCTTGTGGTTGAAAGCACTGCTCAGTGAGGATAACTGAATTTTTTGGGGAAAACACATATAGCAACATACAAATGAACAAACAAAGGGAATCATTCACGCGCAACAAACGGAATAAACAACAACAACAACAACAAAAACAAGCGGTAGAAACTATTCAGTCGTATTCTCTTTACCATGTGGCTTTTTGTCTTCGTTCCTCCAGCCGCGGTTGAACTCGCCTGGCCTGCTTGTGTTGTAGACAAGTTGGACATAGTGGATACGGGAGGTGCAATTATCAAAGTGGGATTCGGTGGTGCATTCGTCCCGGTTGCAGCGATCGGAATCACAGTCGGGGTAGTCCCACCATCGGGGAAATCTACCACCGGTTCTGACATTATTCTCCCAGTTGCATCCACAGTAGAAATGGACACTTCAATGTCGTCTTGAAACGGCTGTATCCGATTTTGTTGTCCAATGGAAAATTGGAGTGTTTCAAGTTTGACCTGTTCTGGAGTCACTTCAGCAGCCGAACTCATACCAACTGGTCTTCCACCATGATCATCAGTGGTGATAATTTCGATCACAACAGAGGAGTCAGAATCACGTTTTGACACAGATGACATGGGGTTCACCACCGGGACCTGTTCGGCAATCACCTGATCGGCCATGATCACATTCATATTGGATGTTTGATTGGTCAGAATATCCGGTCCAGCTGGACCGGCACGTTTCACCGCGCCGCTGTTCACGCTGGGCACAGCCAA